GAGGCAGAGGTTGCAGTGAGCCAAGATCATGCCACTGTACTCCAGCCTAGGCAACAGAGTGAGACTCATCTCAAAAAAAAAAAAAAAAAAAGAAATTGTGATTATAAATATGTTTTTGTTACCAATGTCTTTGTATGTATCCTAATTTGCTTTTGAGCTTTTTCATGTTTGCACCATTTTTTTCATAATTTTAGAATTGTTATTTCTTTTTGTATTTTTCTACCACCACAATTTAAATATTTTTGTTTTATCATTTTTCTGATTTTCAATATTCGTCTGTTTTCCTGTTTCAATCATTATTATTCAATTTTTTAAATTAGCATATGCATTTTTAATGATTTCTTTCTGAAAATTTTATAGTATTTTTGATGAGATTATATTGCCCCATTTACAGATTGTACTGTTTCAGATTTGGACATTTAAAAAGGCCACCTGTCACAAAATTTACAATGTAGCTTTGTCCTGGCATAGTCAGAAAACAGTGGTCTTGGCTGGAGATTATGGGAATCTCTCAAACATCATCTTCAGGTTTGTCCTGTCTGAAATTTTGTGTTTACTTCTAGCTAAAGGAGATTGTTTATGTTTCTTCTGCAAAGTAAGTAATCGCTTGTGACACCTGCCCTCTCTGTAGCACTGCAGTGCTCCTCTGCAGTGGCCTAATTTGTTATTTTATTTCTTTTCAGTTGTATGCTTTTATTTTGCCCAAAATCTTTGGTCTTAGCAGACTCAAACTCTCATTTCAAAGTATATTACCATTTCTTTCAGCACTTTATGTCATGGGAGACAGAAACAGTGTGAAAAGGCCCGTCAAAGCCAGAAATTAAGTTGTATGTGCCAATATTTTTCTCATCTTTTAAGAAAGAAACCAGAAGTTGACAACTTACTTGTAAAGAAACTATGTAATATTAGGAAGCAGAAAGTGTTGTGTTTGGTAAATGTCAGAAACTTTTTATTTTTTCTGTGTGGATTTTTGCATTGAACTCACTTTATGCACTGCACACACTTAACTCATAAATTATCTAATTATCTACATATGTATTTTGGTTCGTATGCTTTCTTTTTTTTTTTGTGGGGGCGACAGTTTTGCTCTTGTTGCCCAGATTGGAATGCAATGGCACGATCTTGGCGTACAACAACCTCCTCCCGGGTTTAAGCAATTGATTCTCCTGCCTTAGCCTCCTGAGTAGCCGGGATTACAGGCATGTACCACCACACCTGGCTAATTTTGTATTTTTAGTAGAGACAGGGGTTCTCCATGTTGGTCAGGCCGGTCTCAAACTCCTGATCTCAGGTGATCTGACCATCTTGGTCTCCCAAAATGCTGGGATTACAGATGTGAGCCACCATACCCAGCTGGTATGTATGTTTTTATAACATTTACATATCTCTGAAGTACTTAGGACCTGTGGTATGTTGCAATGTCATCTCATTTGTGTGGATTGAATAATTTTATCGGTTAGATTCGTAAAAATATATTTATCAGAGTCTAATAAGTGGACTAATTTGTTTTTATTTCTTTTCAGTTATATGTTCCTATTTTGCTCAAGACCTTTGGCCAGAGCAGGGCCTAGAAGATTCTTTTCAAAAAGTGATATTGAGAAGACATGAAAAATGTGAACATGAGAATTTGCAGTTAAAAATTGGTTGCACCAATGTGGATGAGTCTGAAGTTCACAAAAAAGGTTATAATAATCATAACCAGAGTTTGACAACTGCACAGAGCAAAGTATTTCAATGTGATAAATATGCCAAAGTCTTCCATAAATTTTCAAGTTCAAACAGACATAAGATAGGGCATACTGGAAAGAAACTTTTGAAATGTAAAGAATATGACAGATCATTTTGCATGCTTTCACACCTATCTCAACATAAAAGAATTTATATTAGAGAGAATTTCTTCAAATGTGAAGAATGTGGCAAAACCTTTAATTGTTCCTCAACGCTTACTTATCATAAGAGAATTCATACTGGAAAGAAAGCCTACAAACGTGAAGAATGTGGCAAAGCCTTCAACTGGTCCTCAAGACTTACTGAACATAAGAGAATTTATGCTGGAGAGAAACCGTACAAATGTGAAGAATGTGGCGAGGCCTTCACCTGGTTCTCAAGCCTTTCTAATCATAAAAGAATCCATACTGGAGGGAAACCCTACAAATGTGAAGAATGCGGCAAAGCTTTTAATCGATTTGGGATTTTTACTAAACAGAAACTAATTCATGCTGGAGAGAAACCCTACAAATGTGAAGAATGTGGCAAAGCCTTTAACCAGTTCTCAAGCCTTACTACACACAAGGCAATTCATACTGGAGAGAAACACCACAAATGTGAAGAATGTGGCAAAGCTTTTTCCTGGGCCTCAAGCCTTAGTGAACATAAGAGAAATCATACTGGAGAGTACCACTACAGATGTGAAGAATGTGGCAAAGCCTTTAAAAAGGCCTCACTTCTTACTAGACATAAGGTAATTCACACTGAAGAGAGACCCTACAAATGTGAAGAATGTGGCAAAACTTTTAACCGGTCCTCAACCCTTACTATGCGTAAGAGAAGTCATACTGGAGAGAAACCCTACAAATGTGAAGAATGTGGCTAAGCTTTTAATCAATTCTCAATTTTTACTAAACATAAGATAATTCATGCTGGAGAGAAACCCTACAAATGTGAAAAATGTGGCAAAGCCTTCACCTGGCCCTCAAGCCTTAGTGAGCATAAGAGAAATCATAAACCCCTCCAAATGTAAAGAATGTGGCAAAGTCTTTAAAAAGTCCTCACTTCTTACTAGACATAAGGTAATTCATACTGAAGAGGAACCCTACAAATGTAAAGAATGTGGCAAAGCCTTTAACTGGTCATCAACCCTTACTCATCATAAGAGAATTCATATTGGAGGGAAACCCCTAGAAATGTGAAGAAGGTGGCAAACATTTTAACTGTTCCTCAATTCTTACTAAACATAAGGTAATTCATGCTGGAGGGAATCCTTAAAGTGTGTGGAATGTGTCAAAGCCTTTAAGTAGTCCTTGAGGTTTGCTACATATAAGACAACTCGTACTGGAAAGAAACCCTACACATGTGAAGAATGTCGGAAAGCCTCCAACAGATCCTCAATTCTTAACAGACATAAGATGATTTATACTAGAGAAACTCTACAAACCTGAAAGATGTGACAATGCTTTTGGCAACACCTCAAACTTTTCTAAGTATAAAAGAAATCATATTGATGAGAAATCCTAGAAATGTGAAGAATGTGATAAAGCTTTTAAATGGCTGTCACACTTGATTGACTGGAGAAAACTACTAGTGTGAACAATGTGGCAAAATATTTAACCAATGCTTACACCTTATTGCACAGGAAAGCATTTATACTTGAGAACAAAGGTTCAAATATAAAGAAAGTGTAGGCTGTGCATGGTGGTGGCTCATGCCTGAAATCTGAGCACTTTGGGAGGCTGAAATGGACAGATCACTTGAGGTCAGGAGTTCAAAACCAACCTGGCCAACATGGCGAAAACCCATCTTTACTAAGAATGCAAATAAATTAGCCAGGCATGGTGGCAGGCATCTGTAATCCCAGCTACTCTGAAGGCCAAGACAGGAGAATTGCTTGAATCTAGGAGGCACAGCTTGCACTTGGACAAGGTTGTACTACTGCACTCCAGCTTGGACTACAGGGAGAGACTCTGTCAAAAAAAAAAAAAAAAAAAAAAAGGAAGTGTGAAAGTCAATATCTGCCCACATTCAACATCAGAGAGTTTATGCTAAATAAAAGCATTAAAAATACAATTAGTCTCAAAAGATCTTTCAGAAATATAAGCCCTTAAGGTGCAGAAGAATGTTTATTCTGAAGACAAACACTACAAATATACAGAGGGTTGTGGTACTTTTACTTGTATCACAGATTTTATTGTTCACATTTGGTACTAAAGGAAACCCCTGAGGCAGTTGTTCCAACTTTGTTTAACATCAGGGAATTTATATAATTTGGAAAAATATTTTTTCAAAAACTACAGATTATAAAACACCAGAGAGTTTATACTAAAATATATTTTTGTGGATATAGTAAATATTAAAAAAATTAATCCAATATTAAGTTCATGTAAGTATCAGGGAATTCACAGTAGAAATATCTGTCTCTCAAACGTTAGACATTACACTAAATCGAATTGCTGAGTATAGTAAAAAATCCAAAAATAAAGTTGGTAGAAAACCTATTTGTATATAACTTTAAAAGAACTAGATCTTGGTCGGCCTCCGAGGCTCACACCTGTAATTCCAACACTTTGGGTGGCCAAGGCATGTGGATCTCAAGGTCAGAAGTTCAAGACCAGCCTGGCCAAGATGGTGAAAATGTACCTCTACTAAAAACTACAAAAATTAGTTGGGTGTGGTGGCAGGTGCCGGTAATCCCAGCTGCTCAGGAGGCTGAGAAAGGAGAATCGCTTGAACCCAGGAGGCAGAGGTTGCAGTGAGCCAAGGTCATGCCACTGCATTCCAGCCTGGGTGACAGAGAGTCCATCTGAAAAAAAAAAAACTTTGAAGAGTTATATTTAGTATACTTATTTTTCTTTTTTGGAAATATACATTTTTTTTGGCCAGACACAGTGGCTCACATCTATAAGGCCAACACTTTAGGATGCTGAGGTGGGCAGATCACTTGAGGTCAAGAGTGAAAGACCAATGTGGCCAACATGGTAAAACCCCACCTCTACTAAAAAGTAATACAAAAATTACCTGGGCTTGGTGGTGCACACATGTAGTTCCAGGTACTTGGGAGGCTGAGACATGATAATCACTTGAACCTGTGAGGTGGAGGCTGCAGTAAGCTGAAATTTTGCCACTGCACTGCAGCCTGGGTGACAGAGCAAGACTGTGTCTCAAAGAAAAAAAAAATAAATATATATATATATAGTTTGGAAACTGAAAAATGATGGAATTCAAGTTTCAATTACTTCATGCTGTTTCTTCATTTCTATTGTATTCACATATAAAAGCATGTGATCAATTCTTGCTGCACCAAAGATTTGGGAGACTCTTTTTATTAGGTGGTTATTGTTTAGGACATCTCTTATGGGCAAGTATGGACATTAAAATGTAAGATGGTCCATGCCCAGAGCTGTTTGTAAAGAAAAAAAAATGTAAAATGCAAGATGAAAAGCTAAGTAGAGGGTTTCACCGTGTTGGTCAGGCTGGTCTGGAACTCCTGACCTCAGGTAATCCAAAAAAAAAAAAAAAAAAAGAAAAGCTAAGTAGAAAGCCTCTTTGTGGTTAACTTATAGAATTGGGTGATGTATGAGGTAGCCCTTCTGAGTAATATTCCTTTGTGTGTTTTGTTTTTGAGAGGGAATCTCATTCTGTTGCCCAGGCTGGATTACAGTGGCATGATCTTGCAAGCTCCTTTTTCCAAGTTCAAGTCATTCTCCTGTCTCAGCCTCCCAATAGCTGAGATTACAGGTGCCTACTACCATGTCCAGCTAATTTTTGTATTTTCGTAAGACAAGGTTTCATCATGTTGGTCTTGATCTCCTGACCTCAAGTGATCCACCCGCCTCAGCCTCCCAAAGTGCTGGGTTTACAAGTGTGAGCCACTGCACTCAACACCAAGTAATCTAATGCATTATTATGAGAAAAGAATCATCCTTAATTATATTTAAAATTGAATCAAAATTAATTAGTATGTCATTTTAGTAATTGTACTTTTATGTGATAAAACTACATTTTAACGTCTCTAGTATTATTTGCCAGTGGCAAAGAAGTTAAATATGGTTCCTGTAGGTTAATTTTTTTCTTTTACATTTAAATTTATTTTTCTCAGTTTTTGTGTGTACATAATATGTGTATCTATTTATGCCATATATGGTATATTTTGATAGTCATACAATTTATAGTATACATTTATAGTATGCTATAAATTGTATACTATAAAATTATAGTATACAATTAAATGATTTATAGTATACAATTATACTGTACAATTTGTAGTAATCACATTAGGGTAAAGAAAGTACTTATAACCTCTGGCTTTTATGTTTTTCATTACAAAAAATTCAATTCTGCAGTCTTAGTTATTCTAAAATGTACAATTAAATTGTTACTGACTACAACATTTTTATGGTCATTATAAAATTTATACAAGCATAAATAAAATCAATATACACTCAAACCAATAGTGTGCAAGCAATTTTTTAAATTCACATTTCTACCAACACTTGTTTCTTCTTAATTAGTGTCATTCTAACAGAAGTGATATCACCTATTTTTTTTTTTTGCTTCCCTTTCCCTGATAACAGACAGTGACCATTTTTTGAATGATCTATTGGCCACATGTATGTCTTTTTTTGAAAAATATGTAAGTCTTTTTCTCATTTTTAATAGTTGGGTTTTTTTAATTTTATTTTTTATTTTTTAATTTTTTTTTTT